TCTATAAAAATCTTCTGGGGGCCGCAAAAAATTTCCATCAGGCCGCATGCGGCCCTCCAAACGCCAGTTTTACATGCCTGGAGTAGGGAATGATTGGGTCCAGATGATCTACTGCTGTGTGTGAATTTTCTCTCCATTAATCAGTTGCATGGAGATTAGTCCAGCCCCTGTGTTGGAGTAACCACTGTGAAGCAACTCTGAAGCCACTTCACAGCTTGTGCAGAAGAATTCCTAACCAGGCTGGCTGCGTTCTCCCCAATAACAGTTTTCAAGGTGTGTGTAACAAGTGAGAGTTCTTGGGAGACTGATCTTACTCCTTTAGTCATTAGCAAAACTTCCCAATAACTCTTATATGTCTTAACTTAGGCCCCTCTGTATGTTTGTTTAATCTCTAAATTCCATTAATCTAGTGCTATCTACTACGACACACAAGTACTGCCAACACCAGGTATTAAAAATCATGATTCAGAGCATGTAAATCATTATGCTTTTTTAAAAAATGGGTGGGGATTTTTACTTTCTGGGTTTTACGTCTCTAGGAAATACTTGAGTCACATTTTTAAGCTTGTATTCCACAGTCATGAGGGCTAGAGTCTTTAAAAACAAAAAACTGATTCTCACTTAATCAAAGGTCTTTAAGAAAAGCATAAACTATTATGAGACTTTTGACAAAATTGTGACAGCTGGCATCAGGTAAATTCTAACTGTTAGTAATTTGTTAAATTAAACAGGATCATAGAATACTAGAACTGGAAGGAGCCTCAAGTGGTCATCGAGTCTAGTCCCCTGCCCTCATGGCAGGATCAAGCACAGTCTGTCATCTCTGACAGGGGGCTGTCTAAGCTGCTCTTAAAATAGGAATATGAAGGACTAGTTGACTACTCGCTCTTCAGGTAAATTCTAACTGTTAGTAATTTGTTAAATTAAACAGGATCATAGAATACTAGAACTGGAAGGAGCCTCAAGTGGTCATCGAGTCTAGTCCCCTGCCCTCATGGCAGGATCAAGCACAGTCTGTCATCTCTGACAGGGGGCTGTCTAAGCTGCTCTTAAAATAGGAATATGAAGGACTAGTTGACTACTCGCTCTCCCCTCTGGGGGGAAGAGAAGGGAGTACTTCAAAGCAGCAGGACCGCGTGGAGCCTGGGGCCAGACCCCGGGCTCCACCTGGCGTTGCTGCCTTGAAACACCGGGAGGAGCCTGGCTCCTGTGGTGTTTCAAAGCAGCAGCACTGCACAGAGCCTGGGATCAGTGGGGAGTCCCCAACTGACCCTGGGCTCCACATGACACTTGCGCCTTTTAAGTGTAGCGACAGCCTGAGGACTGTCGCTACACTTCAAAGGTGGAGATGCCCTATCAGCTAGTTGAATAGTTGATGCAAAATGCCAAAATAATTTATACGTGAGGTCATGGGGCTACGTCCTAGTTGCTGAAGTGGAACTGAAAAATAATGGGAAGTGATTTGGGAGTGGGAGGAGCAGCAAGTCAGTGGGTCATCATTAGGGTATGGACTCATGCAGGATAATTTCATAAATGTCTTTTGGTTTTACTGTCCGCCATAAAACTAAAGGTTTATTCACCAACGGAGGCATACGATTTCAGGAATGAATGAAAGGCATAATTGTATCATTTAATGAGAGGCGAAGCCACAGCTCTGCTGTATTAACTATTGACTTAGTAGAGATGGTATCAACTCACAGGGGCAGGGCCCAACAGGGTTGTGGATTCGCTTCAAGACAGAGTAAATTAGGGATAGTTGCTTTTATTAATCTCACTACGTCTATTACAGGCTTAATTCTGCCAGATGGTCACACTGCTACTGCAAAGTAATATGTCAATAAGCACAGATAGAGCAATGCATAAAAGAGTAATAGGCACTTGGACATGCTTACACCCCTTCAGTCTGCGGGGAGTCCCATTCCAGATACCATGCACCAGGCCACAGTGGACGTGGCTCCAGCTGGGGGGATCCCAGAGCACCCTTCAAGGTCTAAGTCTCTGATAAGACTCAGTGGGCGCACAACTCCCTATACTAGTTATACTACAGTTGTTTACTGGGTGTGCACATAACTGGCTCAACACCATTCTTATCACTTTCATGAGCTGAGACCGAGGTCAAACTTGTTTACTGCTTAGTAGTTTCCCAGCTCAAGGCATGGGTTAAAGCTGATAATGTCCAGTTGTTTTTTGGGCTTGCAGGGTCCCAGGCTATGCTAAGCTGGGTACAGAAGGGATGGAAACTTCCATCCCATGCCTGCTAAGCTGCAGGACCCAATATGACTTTTATGTGACAGATGGAATCTTGAGAACTTTCTAATAGAAAATAATTATTTGAATACAGCCACTCCCCAACTTACAAACACACCAATTTACGACCATCCTCTCATTAACTCCATTATAATAATTTCGAGTTGAGAACCATGTACGTCAAGTTTTTCGAACAGCCTGGGCAGTGCGTTTAAAGGTATTTCTGACTTATGACCAAATTGAGTTACAACCAGGTGTTCAGAACTTACGCCGTTTAAGTCGGGTCGTAGTTTTCTGATGTTTTCTTAAATTGTTATACTATTCACATTCATATCAGTATATTAGTCACTAGCCTAGTATTCTGCAGTATTATTTTGAAAATTTGATTTTGTATCTCTCCCTCCCCCCCCCCCCCCCCAAAACCCTTTACAAC